ATTTGTTTATTATTATTCTTTATTACGTGCATATTTATGTACTTATTTAGTTAATTATCATGCAACTGTCGGGTTAGGAATGCACATGTGACCCTGAGCACAGACCCAGTGTCGAGTCGCGCCGGCGTATCTGTGGAGACAGCAACAATAGCTACACTGTATGGGTCACAATTATCCATTTTTCTTTTATGCCAAAAATCATTAGGATATGAAGTAAAGATCATGTTCATGAAGATATTTTGATATTTCCTACCGTAAATATATAAAACATTTATGTTTGTGAGTGAATGGAGCAGAATCACCAACATAAATGCACAACTTTAAAGGAGATTTTCTCAATCTTTAGATTTTTTTGCACCCTCATATTCCAGATTTTCTAATAGTTGTATCTAAATATTGTCCAAAAGATTGACCTATGTGACTGGTTCTGTGGTCCAGGGTCACATGTCACCGCATATGGGCGGAGGAGGAAGTGACATGAAAGAAAAAAAAAAGGATTTGGGGATGGTGGTGGCTCACCGTGTTTTGTGTTTTCATTTGTGTTAGGAAATGTTAGGAAAATAAAGCTTTTGAAATGAAGAACGCGTTTGTCGTATAATATTTGTGCTAAATCTCCACAGATTTGGCTTTTACAGGAACTTCACCAGCAAAGTGAGTAAACATAATAAGTAACACGCCAAATTTGCTGGTGATTTGACAGCGTTATAATCTCAAACACTCACGGACACAACGAACGCGACGGGTCCCGCAAAGCTCCAGATGAGTGTGTCGTAGAGCGAGAGCCAGCAGAAGTCAGGGTTCCCGTACCCCTCAGGGTCGAGCCCGACCGCCAGCCCCGTGATGAAGGCCGGGACGCCCCAGCCGATCAGGTAGTAGAAGCGCATGGGGCCGAAGTTGATGTCGCGCAGCTCGCTCCTCATGCGGTGCACGTGCAGGGCCTCCAGGAACAGCCAGGAGAACACACACATCCAGGAGAAGTGCAGCAGGATGGCCATCACTGTACAGAGGAACTGCAGGGAGACGAGCTGTGTCACGCACGGGTACACACACATACACTCACACACACACACACACACACACACACACACACACACACACACACACACACACACACACACACACACTCACTCACTCACTCACTCACTCACTCACTCACTTTCTCACTCACTCACTCACTCACTCACACACTCACTCAAACACTCACTCACTTACTCAAACACTCACTCACTTACTCAAATACTCACTCACTTACTCAAATACTCACTCACTTACTCACTCACTCAAACACTCACTCACTCAAATAGTCACTCACTCACTCACTCACTCACTCACTCAAATAGTCACTCACTCACTCAAATAGTCACTCACTCAAATACTCACTCACTCAAATAGTCACTCACTCACTCAAATAGTCACTCACTCAAATACTCACTCACTCAAATAGTCACTCACTCAAATAGTCACTCACTCACTCAAATAGTCACTCACTCAAATACTCACTTACTCAAATACTCACTCACTTACTCACTCACTCAAACACTCACTCACTCAAATAGTCACTCACTCACTCACTCAAATACTCACTCACTCACTCACTCAAACACTCACTCACTCAAATAGTCACTCACTCACTCACTCAAATACTCACTCACTCAAATAGTCACTCACTCACTCAAATACTCACTTACTCAAATACTCACTCACTCAAATAGTCACTCACTCACTCAAATAGTCACTCACTCAAATAGTCACTCACTCACTCACTCACTCAAACACTCACTCACTTACTCACTCACTCAAATACTCACTCACTCAAATAGTCACTCACTCACTCACTCACTCAAACACTCATTCACTTACTCACTCACTCAAACACTCACTCACTCAAATACTCACTCACTTACTCACTCACTCAAACACTCACTCACTCAAATAGTCACTCACTCACTCACTCAAATACTCACTCACTCACTCACTCAAACACTCACTCACTCAAATAGTCACTCACTCACTCACTCAAATACTCACTCACTCAAATAGTCACTCACTCACTCAAATACTCACTCACTCACTCAAATACTCACTCACTCAAATAGTCACTCACTCACTCAAATAGTCACTCACTCAAATACTCACTCACTCAAATAGTCACTCACTCACTCAAATAGTCACTCACTCAAATACTCACTCACTCAAATACTCACTCACTCAAATAGTCACTCACTCACTCAAATAGTCACTCACTCAAATAGTCACTCACTCAAATACTCACTCACTCAAATACTCACTCACTCAAATAGTCACTCACTCTCAAATAGTCACTCACTCACTTACTCAAATACTCACTCACTCAAATACTCACTCACTCAAATACTCACTCACTCACTCAAATAGTCACTCACTCACTTACTAAAATACTCACTCACTCAAATACTCACTCCCTCAAATAGTCACTCACTCACTCACTCACTCACTCACTCACTCACTCACTCACTCAAAT